TATATATATATATATATATATATATATATATATATATATATATATGTGTGTGTGTGTGTGTGTGTGTGTGTGTGTGTGTGTGTAAATAAAGCACTCATTCCATTCCAATTCAATTCTATCATTAATGTTCATTGAAATCTTAACATCTTTAACATTTCTTTTCAATTGAATATCATACTTCCTTATGAACACTTATAAGCTTTCCATAATTAATTCTTTTTTTCCCCATATCTCTCTTCACTTATATTTTCATAAATTATTAATAATACACTGCTCAAAACAATAAAGGGAACACTTAAACAACACAATGTAACTCCAAGTCAATCACACTTCTGTGAAATCAAACTGTCCACTTAGGTAGCAACACTGATTGATAATCAATTTCACATGCTGTTGTGCAAATGGAATAGACAACAGGTGGAAAGCATAGGCAGTTAACAAGACATCCCCAATAAAGGAGTGGTTCTGCAGGTGGTGACCACAGATCACTTCTCAGTTCCTATGCTTTCTGGCTGATGGTTTGGTCACTTTTGAATGCTGGCAGTGCTTTCACTCTAGTGGTAGCATGAGACGAAGTCTACAACACACACAAGTGGCTCAGGTAGTGCAGCTCATCCAGGATGGCACATCAATGTGAGCTGTGGCAAGAAGGTTTGCTGTGTCTGTCACCGTAGTGTCCAGAGCATGGAGGTGTTACCAGGAGACAAGCCAGTACATCAGGAGACGTGGAGGAGGCTATAAGAGGGCAACAACCCAGCATCAGGACCACTACCTCCGCCTTTGTGCAAGGAGGGACAGGAGGAGCACTGCTTAAATGCCTATTAATGTCAAAGTGGATTTTTTTTCAATTTCTTGCTTAAGTCTCTTAGCTGTCAGTATAAGGAAGGGAAGAGAAAAAAAAACAAATCCTTTCCCTCCCCTCTCTCCTTCGCTGCTTCAAAATCTTCTTTGGGAGCAATGTTATTTTTTATAGTTTAAATTCCAGGGTACCTTACATTGTTGCTTTTTCAGTTTAACCAGGTCAACCAAAATTTTCTCTTCTTATCTTCCTCCTGCACATTCTTTTCCAGTTGAGTTCTTCTTTGAGGTGGCCATTTGTGAGCACCATTGCAACCGCCTTCGGGAAAGAGAGTAATGGCCAGCTGGGGAGGAGAGATGCATCTCTCCTCGACCCTGCTGGCAGTTTTCCCCCTCTTCACCACCTCTACAGGGTGGCTTAGCCTCGAAACCAGCCAGCTCGGGGCGCTCTGGCGGTGAGCACGGATCAAAACAGCGCACGATCACGAATTTCAGTCCGTCGCCGAAGGAGCTCAAACCGGACGTCCCCCAAGTCACTAGTTTTCATGAGTCACTTCTTGTCCCTTCTAAGTGAGCGTGCTGCTTTCAGATGCAACATGGACTTTCCTTCATTAGTGTAAAACTGCCAGTCAACTTCCTATTGGTTCCTATATGTAGATGCACCATTTTATTTATTCTTTATTTGCTTAGCCACAAAATACATTGAACCAATTCCATGCCATTTGGGCAAAACCCCAAGAGGACTGGGATTTAGCTATTACAAAATCACGAAACTGCCTCACTTACTTTGGCCAAGTCATGTGAAGGAATTCACTGGAGAAAGCAATTATGCTTCAAAGAGTTAGTGGTAAAAGGAAACAGGGCCATCAAAGGATGCAATGGCTGGACACCATCAAAGCTGACACCAGCCAGAGCCTAGAACCATGATGGCAAACCAATGGCACACGTGCCACAGGTGGTACACAGAGCCATATGTGTGGGCATGCGAGCCCCAGCCAAATTTACATGTACTGCGCATGCGCGTGCCTCCCAGCTGATTTTCGGTCCGTTTGAGGCCATTTTTGCCCTCCCAAGGCTCAAGGGAAGCCTCTGAAGCCTTGGGAGGGCGAAAAATAGGCCTTACGGAAATATCGAAATATCGGAAGTGCCGAAACAGGCCTGTTTTCAGCCTCCTGAGGCTTCAGAGGCTTCTCTCAAGCCTCTGGGATGGCAAAAACACCCCCCCCGGGCTCCAGAGGCCCTCTGGAGGCTGAAAATATTACTGAAAGGTCCATTTTTTTCAGCCTCCCGAGGTTGCAGAGGCTTCTCTCAAGCTTCGGGAGGGCAAAAATGGCTGAAAATCAGCTGGCAGGCACGTGCGTGCACAGTGCAGGTAAGGGGGCAGAGCAGGGTGTGCATACATGCGCAGGGGGGCAGGGCCATTGCATTGTGGGTGCCGGCGCGTGCTTGCTTTCAGCACACCACAACAAAAAGGTTTGCCATCACTGGCCTAGAACAACTCAAAGAAGCAGTGAAAGATTGGAAGACGTGGAAAGACCTGTCCCACAAAATTGCCAAGAGTCAGACATGACTGAATGGATAATATCATCATCATCATCATCATCATTCACCTGGTCTTATGGAACTGTCTTGTTATGTCAGAATTATCAAAGATGCAGATGGAAGAGGA